AGCCTGCCAGGGTGCCATAAATCCTGCTACCCACCCAGGCTCCTACTGCACCAGACTAGGGATGGGGGAGAAATTTATACCAGGCATGCCAACTTTAGGGGGCTGAAGAGTCTCCAGCCCCCTCAGTCTTTGTTGGAAAGGGGCCATCAAGGTCCATTTATGAAAAGGATCCTAGCCCAAATCCACTTGAGCTGGGGAGCCATGAAAGGTTGCTCTGAGTACCCCTCTCTTCACCACTCTGATGTTTATCATTGTCTCCTCCGTCTTTCTCCTTCCCTCCAATCTCCACCAAACCTGCCAGTTATGACCTATTTATATGATGAAAACATAATGGCAAATGAAAGTAACTGCTGACTATCTCTGCTGCACAAAACTAGTGATTGGCTCAACCCTCTAAAGCCAAAATCACACATACTCTGTACATACTCTGTATTCTGGGGATTATCACACACAGACCCCAGCAGATCCATGAGAACTGTTCAGAAATTTGTCATGTATTAGATGCCTATTCTGATACATTGAATGCGTTGTTTTCTCTTCAGGAAATGAAAATCATTGATATTAATTGCATCCCTAGTTGCCACAGATTTAAAAAGGCACATGTACATCATATATCTTCAGTGAAGTACCAGCTTTTTGAGCTATGACTTGTTAATTAAAATTACCACTAAGCATTTCTATGCTGCTACATAATGAAACATAAAGTGTGGCAACAGTGTTGTCATTACGAACCATTTTGGAGTATCAGGTGATCAATATAAAGTTTATAGTAACATGGGAAAACCAGTCCATTTGTTGGCTGTCCAGCTTTTAAGACATGGTTATCAAATCGACAGAAATGTGGTATTTTACCACCAGTGGAGACTTTGCTACTTAAAAGAATCCAAAAGCATTAACCAAGCACTAGTAGTTCAGTGCCTGGAAGTATTTTCCTCCGCAGTTCAGAAGGTTGTGCATTTGCCATCTGTGGAGCTGTGATATTTTAACTCTGTATTCATTTCTCTCTCAGTAGGGTTGACCAAGGTTTTATCGCTTAATTTATCACCTTGGCTGCATCCAAGGAACATTCCAAAAGTGGCTGAAATCATAAAAGTGAATGAGAAGTTCCACACGCCTGCTAAGTTTGGTGCATGTAGAGGTGCTATGATTACTCGGCATCCGTTACTTTTCACATTTCAACATCACTTTTCCCAACTAGCCATTTTTGCAATGTTAATTAATGTCACAGCTTGCTGGGCACATTTGACAGGACAGAATTTACGTGGGAAGTTATTGGATGTACTCTGGACTATAATTAAGTAGTTAGCTTTCTGTCATTCTTCTCAGTGTCAATACAGTTCTACTGGCTTGGAACTATACATGTTCACACCAGTAACTCATTTATAATAAACGGCCCTAGCTATGGTGAAAGATCTGTATAGCTTATTACACCAGGATACCAAAACGAGAGCAAAAGCAGCTTATTTATTCTTCTCTCCAACTTTCTGCACTTCCTCTTCACTTTCTTCTTCACCTTCAAACTCCTGTTACTCATATTAAACCAGTTGTGGCCAATGGGGGTGGGGGGTATAAAAAAACCAACAACTAACTTTTTGGTTCAGCTGCTTTCCTAGGACTGCAAAAACAGGAAGGGGCAGGGGATTGGAGTTATCATTCACCTCTTCTGCCACAAATAGATATACTCGGATGAGCTCCGTATGGTTTGATTGGCCACAAGTTGTTGAGTCTTGATTTAGAGGCCCCACCACTTTGTTTTACTTACACCTGTCATTTTGAATTCCCCTTTTGGCTCCTATTGCCCTATACAAGTTTATCACACATACCCCTTTAATTTTTGCTGTCCACTGCATCCATGCCTTTCCCCATTCTGTTTAAATGGGCTGTCTTTCAGGGATTAGCTCTGCATTGGGTCCTCATGATCCATACTGCATGCAGCGCAATTGTGCTACAGATATGAGTTATCATAGTTCCAGTACAACAGGAAGGATGCCTGCTTATAAAAGGGATGCTAATGAGTGAGTCTCCCACACTGTATGTTCCTTCTTTTAGAAATGCTAAATCCATTCCACATCTTCTGGAATGAAAGCTCCATTGTGCATATTTTGTGGTTGCTGCTTCTACTTTTTCAAAAATGCAAAGTGTTCATATAGACTAAGGGCAGGAAATCTTATCAGTCCAAGGTCCACATTTGCTTCTGAAGAACCTTCTGAGGGGCACTGGTCAGTGTGGGACAGGGCCAGAGGCAAAACTAGGCAGAGCAATATTAATATTTGTACTGAAGGAGAATTCACAGACACACACACACTTCCTCTCTAGTCTCCATCCAGGCAAGCAGGAATCATTGTCAAAGTTCAAGGACGCACTCCAGCCAGGCAAAAAATACTCAAGCCAGGTGCAAAGCAAAGCCAGTGAGTGGTGTGGCATGGGAAGACAGAGATGTCTGAGGAGGGGCTGTGTTCAGTGCAGAATGAATACTACCAAGCTTTTATGCTAGAATAAAGCAGACCCTGGCTATTGCATTTTGCACCAGCTGATATTTCCTTCATTTTAAACACAGCATGAGATCTGGTCTATACATGTAACAAGTTGGATGCGGGTGGTGCTATAGTCTAAACCACTGAACCTCTTGAACTTGCTGATCGTAAGGTCAGCAGTTTGAATCCGTGCAATGGGGTGAGCTCCTGTCACTTTGTCCCAGCTCCAGCCAACCTAGCAGTTCGAAACCATACTACCCATGAGTAGATAAATACATACTGCTGCAGCGGGAACGTAAACGGCATTTCTGTGCGCTCTGGCTTCCGTCACAATCTTCCGTTGAGGCAGAAGTGGCTTAGTCATGCTGGCCACATGACCAAGAAAGCTGTCTGCAGACAAATGCCAGCTCCCTCGGCCTGAAAGTGGAGATGAGCACTGCAACCTCATAGTCAAATTCAACTGGACTTAAGTGTCCAGGCGTCTTTTACGTTTACCTTACATGTAACAAAAAGGAGTGGTAAAATTCACTGTGCCCCTTCAGAATGGAGGTGGAAACAGCGGTGGAGCTAGCTGCTCAGGCACCCAGAGTGGCACACATGCCATGCACCCAGGGGTGGGGCGATCTGCCCATGGGGTGGGGCAATCCACCCACAGGGGAGCGACTGGCGCGGTGGCAATCCGCCCAGGGGGATTTTGTCACACACCCCCTCAGGGATGACACCTGGGGCGGACCACCACCACCCCGCCCCCCCTCCTACGCCACTGGGTGCGAAATCAAACCTTTTAATGTTTTCCCTTTTTAAACACAGCCTGCCTTTTCTCACACCACCTCAAAAAACTCCTAAATAGTCAGAAAAAGCAGGTGAGCTGGAACAAGTCACCCTGTTGTGTTTCCATTTGCTGGGATTTTTTAAATGTAGTGGTGCATTCAAAAGTGGCATCCTCGTATCTGAAGTACTGAAATCCTTTTCATGATCATGTTCCTACTTCATTGTGCTGCATGTATGACCCAGCTTCCCAAAGATAGGTCCCATTAGTTTCAACGAATTTAGACATGCCTAACTTTCTCCAGATTGTGCCCAATATATTTAATTTATGAGAGCAAGATCAGCAGCATTTACATTTTATAGTGTCATTCTAATAATCCATGGACAACAAGTTTAATAATAAATTGCCACAAATACCTATTTAGGTACTTCAAAGAGGGAATCAGCTTATGGTATTTTACTTGATACTTTTTATTTGGTTAGGATAGCTAATCAATGAGTTGTAATTATTTTCCAATTTGAGATAGAAAAGGCTAGAAACCCACAGAGTTCCAATTACTGTCATCTGCAAAGCAGGAATTCCCTGGTGGTGCCTCTGCCAGCCAATTGAAATGATAACAACACAGTTCAAATAAATTTGTGAGATGGTTTGTGTAATGAAGAGTTATAGTATAACTTTACCCTTTTATATAAAAATAAACAGTCATACAGCATGTTTATACTTTTTTAAGGGTGTATTTCACAAAAGGTGATTTAGGAAATTATACACAGCTGATTAAAAGTTACTAGAGAGCAATTAGGAAATTGAATATGTCCTTAAGACACAAGTTGATATGGCCAACATCTACAAATGCTAATACTGAGCTTGATTTCCTCCACTGTGTGGAGGAAATTATCTTGTGTGCCTTCTTGGTCTTGTGTACAGCTCTCTGATTTATATGATAAACTATCATACTGTGATTTGCTTTATGCGGGTCAATCTCTAGGAGACTAATTTTAAATTTATACATGAAAGCAAGTACCTAATCAATGACCTGCTTGACCTCTGGCCAATCAGATTATGAAAAACTGCTTGTTCTTTCAATACCATCACCAGAAGAACGAGCTTTGCTATCTGCTGCTTGTTACCAGTAGAGGGTGTCTCACTCTGTTCCTTATAACTGGAGCTGAGGTCTAGTGCTATCTCCCTCTTCAGGGCTTTAACTCTGTTGTTAGCATGCAGGCCAGAGGGTGTTTTACCTTGCTATTGCCGGTAATGCACTTTTAATAAGTTATTTTTATGCCTATTTAATTTTTTGATTATTACATTCATTTGAACTGTCTTTTATGTGGATATTATGGACACTGATGGTTGGGTTTTTTTTATTACGCTTTCTTGTGAACTGTTCAGAGCATAACAAGCATGAAATAACAAAGTGAGCATGACTCTAAGAAACTGCCTAAATGTCCTTGAAATTTAGGGAAAATACAGTGGACTGTGGTCATATATGCCTGTTTATGTTTGGAACAAACAAAAAAATCTGTGACAAAGTTCAAGGCCTTGCACTATTAACAAAAGTTGCAAGCCCATTTAGTAGTAGCTGCTAAGTGGCAGGTTCTGAGAGGAGAGAGAGGTCATCACATTGAGAACTTATCAGGTGGGGCCTGAATCAGGTAAATGCCGTCTGATTGGTCTGGATGACAGAGGACTCTTGATTGGCTGGAGGTTCCAGTCAGTTGGGAGTTAACTGTCAGTTGAGTGGAGAGGCAGTGGAGTTGAGTCAGTTGGAGGATAGGAGGGAAAGGGGAGTTGATAAGGAAGAGAATAGACCAGAGAAAGATAGGACTGAATATTTACAGCCAACAGGGTCTCTTGAGTCTTAAGAACCTATCAACAAGCACCTTTAAGACCGTAAGTATCTGTATTACCTTAAGCGTATAGTATCCTGATAATTAGCCAACAACCTTAGTTTTAAAAGTTCATTCTGTCTCTCATGTTGGTGTCCATCTCATGCCTAAGCCTAGCATACCAGTTATTTGGCACAAAATGTGTTGTCAGGGATACTGGTTCCTTCAGCATCATGTTGTATAAACATAAGTTTGGGTATCTATTTATGCTGCCCCAAATTAGTGAAGAAGCACAGATACCTAAACATTTTGTGCTGAAGTATTTGGCATATATGTACAGCTTACTTACCCATCACTATTCATTACAAGTGACATATTCTGGGTCAACTGAAATGTTTTGTATAATTTATGTGCTCAATTTCATACAGGTTAGGAAGAAATGCACACCATTATATTCACTTTTGGCAAATTAACAAGAATTCTTGTTATTTTTCTTTGGAGCACAGTCTTTTTGCCATTGGCTTATTTTAAAAATGTTCCTAGAACTTAAATTATAAATCCAGTAGTTCATTTCAACAAACTATTATACTCTGCACAGCACATGAGATTTATTTGCAGTGAAGGTGGAGGGACACTGATGAAGTTCACCCCAAACAACAAGCTTGTCATATTAATTTACATGGCTCATAATTCTTATTTAAATTGGGAGTCAGGAAACCTTATCCTGAAACTCTTGCTGCATTCATCACAAATAATGAGATGCATTTTGAGTGAATGTCCATCTTTTGTGCCCATACAGCAGCATTCATACGACCAGACCAGCAAACTCAGGGGCCCTGTTAGTACATGCTCAGAAATCATTTGATTACTCCTTTCCAGGTCTCAAGGAGAAACTGCCCTACCTACCTAATAGCTGCATTTTAATCCAGTGATATACCCATAGCTGTGTTTCTATTCATGTAATGGTTTCCTGGTTGGATAGTGTTCTCGAAGCTACAAACATGAGCCTGACCAAACTGCGGGAGGCAGTGGAAGACAGGAGTGCCTGGCGTGCTCTGGTCCATGGGGTCACGAAGAGTCGGACACGACTAAACGACTAAACAACAACAAATGGTTTCCTGCCACCAAGTCCTGCTACCCATCTCCATGGCTCCCACTTCTACTGGGAATTTATATTGCCTCTTAACAACAGCAGGCCCCATTTCCACATAGGAAAGAGTGGATAATGTGCACTCCTCGAACAGGTTCACAGTAGTGTGGCAGTAAAGTTTGCCACCAGTGGAGCTGCTGATAGCCCCTTCTCTACAATCCAACAACCAATTAGCAGTCAGGGCACTGGGGCTCATGACAACTGAAGAACAGGAGAAAACCATGGTTCCTGAGGCTGGTGGGGGCTAACCTGCAACCTGTGGCCAGATGTAATGATGCCAAAGGTTTTTGTGTGTGGACTTTTAAGTCCCCCGCCCCCCGCAATGTTTCCATTTTTCCATTAAGAGTTTTACTGACTGCTCTAATAAGCATGCTACTGTAACACTGTGATGCCACAATATGTTTTTTTGTTTTGTTTTTTTGTTTCTCAAGACGGCCCATATTTCTCCATTCTATTTTTTTTAAATGAAATATTTATTTATTTTAATAACCACTTCCATATGTCCCCGGATGTAATTACCTGGTGCTGAAAGATTTTTGTCAGACCCACCCACCCCCCCCGACCCCAAATTTGTCCTTTAGGAAAAAAATGGCCCCCACGCATTTACAGTTTGCCTGTGTCTGCGTGGACATGTAGCCCTTGGCCCAAAAAAAGGTTAGCAACCCCTAGCATAGGTAATACACTTTTGCCTGCTCCCCGCCCTGTGCTAAGTTAGCAAACAGCATTGCAAGAGTTTACAGGAATAAAAATACTATGAGTCAATTTAGAACTCTTGAAACATGTACACCCTAGGGTTGCACCACCACCACCACCAAATAATAAATGAACAAATTATTCAGTTTCTATCCTGCCTTTCGTAGAACAATTCTAAGGCATGCTACACAAGAAGAGCAGAATGGATACCATCTTATGCTGCGTATCAGATATAAAACCACAACTAAAAATGAACAGCTCCTATCCCTTCAACAGCAACCTGACTTAAGTAGATGATTTCCTGGCAGGAAGATAAAGTGATGGGGAAGGCTTGGATGATTGCCTATGCAGCTATAACCTCTGTTCCTCTGTAGAAACTCCATGAGGATTTAAGAGATTTATGCTATAATATCTCTCAATTTTGTTTTGCATTATATTTCACTGGTTAGTATCATCTTCATTGTTCACCGGGGGTGCTTTTTTTGGTTGTTTTATTACTGCAGTTGAAGTCAGGTTTCCTATTCTTGGCATCCCCAACATCATAAGTAAACTCACAGGGTCCTGCAAAATGACTGAGGCAGGGCGGACCCTCTCTGGAGCTCACAATGGGGTTATTTGGCCCCTGTGTGTTAGGGTGAATGGGAGGATGGGGGAAGGTAGAAACAGCTGCTAGTATTGTGGTGGGGTCAATATCATTGGCTGCAGAACTGTGTGGCGAACTTGCCGTCTACACTGAAGTTTAGGGTCATGCCATCCATTGATTCTCTGTGTAACAAATACAATTGAGTGGCCTTATCTCCCCCTCCCCTTCAATAATCACCATATGAAATTAGTTTCTTCCAAAAAAGAAGAATTTGACTGACAAAATGCCATCTGTCCTGACCAATACTTCCTTGAATGATTACGAAACCTAACTATTTGTTAAATACATATGCAATTGGTGCTGTATAAATGCTGATGTTTAATGTCTGAATGCTTATAATCTAAACAATGACATAAGACAGAGAAAGAAGGAGAGGGAAAGTATGACAATACACCATTAAAAAAGCTAGGAGAGGCAATATTACCCATCCTACACAAAAGTAAGCCCCACTGCATTCAATGGGATTTATTCCTAAGTAAGTATACATAGGAATGACTCCTGAATGTACTTGATCTCAATAGGTAAAATGATAGACATAATTCATCCAAAGAAAATGGATTTTGCATAGAAACATAGGATATAAATGCTTAAAAAATAATGCACACATTTGAAAATAAAATAATGCAGTACTAATAAATTATGGTTTTGAAAGAAGACAAATTAAAAGACACTAAGGAAGCAGAAAGCAAAAAAGACAAATACAAAGGAGACACAGAATAAATACAGTTAGGTTGACAACAAAATCTTAAAATGCTCAAGGCTTATTAATAAACTTGTCATTTGAAAAAATCAATTTTTACAGAACACACAGGTGGGAGAAATGTATGTTAGCCGCTCAGTTGTATAATGGCTAAAACTGTAATTTTTGCAGCTCTGGAAGCGAGCTTTATCTTTTCTCCATAGGTAGTAAAACAACGAGATGTAGAGGAGGTTGGGGCTCCTGAGCTTTTAATGGTTGTTTTGTAGAAAAAAATTGAACAGATACAGCTTTCCATACCTTTGCATGATCAATGGCATCTGCCCAGTCCCACCCCCTTAGTGATCTTCTTCACTTTTTCAACTATTTGACTACTGACCCAGCCTTGAAGGTATAAGCTCCACTGATGATGGTTGCCTACTTATTTTGAAATGGTTTCTCTGCCTTTAACAGTTTTCATTGCATAGCCTTACAGTGATCAAGAGAAAGCTTCACCTGTTGAACTTGTCTGTCATAATGCAGATGTTAAAAATGTCAGTGCCGTGGTGCTTTGTTTAAAAATATATATCTGAATATCCGTAAAACAAGCTATGGGACTCCTGAAGGTGTGCATCAGCACTGTCAACTTTTTAACTAGTGTAGTTCTTGTGCCATTTAACAGAAATTTAACATGAATAAATTTCACCAAGACAAACTATTGCAGAGACAGAATTATTTCAGCTCCTCAGTGTTTTAATATACTGTATTGCAGAGAAATATGAAGAGACTAAACACCTGTTGCTTACTTGGTCCTCTTAGCACAGGTATGTGGGGGAAGGTGGAAATATACTATGTGAGTTGTATACAAGACAGCTAATGTGGTAGAGTAGATAGAATATTGGGTTGGGAAGTCTTGTGTTCAGTTGCCCACCCAGCTATGACGGCTCACTCGGAGTGCCCCTAGACTAGTCACTGTTGCTAACCTGTAGAGCAGGTGTGAGAAAACTCAGGCTCTCCAGAAGTTGTTGAAGTACAACTCCCATCCCTGACCATTGGCCATAATTGCTGGGGCTGAAGGGGGTTGTAGTTCAGCCAATCAAAAGGGCCAAATGTTCCTTATACCCACTGTAGAGGATGAAATGGAGGTGCAGTATATGCTGCTTTGACCTCCCTCGAGGAAGGACAGGACAACAATGTAAGTACAGTGGTACCTCGGGTAAGGAACTTAATTCGTTCTGGAGGTCCGTTCTTAACCTGAAACTGTTCTTAACCTGAGGTAACACTTTAGCTAATGGGGTCTCCTGCTGCTGCTGTCACGCCGCCGCCGCACGATTTCTGTTCTCATCCTGAAACAAAGTTCTTAACCCGAGGTAGTATTTCTGGGTTAGCGGAGTCTGTAACCTGAAGCATCTGTAACATGAAGCATCTGTAACCTGAGGTACGACTGTAATAAAAAGTTTAGGATAATTTGTCTGCTGAAGTACAGTGGGCTCACTGCTTATGTGAGGGTCCAGTTCTGGGGGTCCACATGCAAAGACAAAATTGCATAAAGCCAGGAGCCTCTGGAATTGCTGCTCCTACATGACCATCCCTACCTGTCCCAAGTGGGCCTTGCCTTGTACCTTGCTTCCCTTGTATCTCCTCCCTAGAGCTCAGTAAGCAAGGCGGAGGGCTGCATGTTCCACCTCTTTTGTTTATTTCTATATTTGGCCAAGAGCCTGAGGTCACAATGGTGTAAGTAAATTACTCGTGACGGCTCACTGTATTATAAAGGGAGAGGAGTCTCATGACTGTTGAAGCAATACAACTGGTTCAGTTCTGCAACTGTTGGCTGTTTTCTAAGAGGTAATTAGGAATTCCCAAGCAATCTTGAAATGGATCCAATGGTGAGTAGAAGGCTTT